TCCGCCTATGTTTAGATTTTTCTCAATATTTTCTACCGGAAATGACAATATTGTTCATGCCAAAGTGAAAGTTGCGACCGCCTTTTTGATTTGAAATTCCGAAGCAAGAGTATAATGTTTTGATGAAGGAAAGAGCACAGAACTGGTGTCTTTATCAGTTTTAGCGATTAGGCTAAATGTAAGTGTTAATTGCAAGTTGACAGAGTTCATTATTTCTCCATATGTTAAAGATCGATTAGGGGTAGTGTACCAAAGACATAAATAAATTGTCTTTTGTGGAACATCACTATTTTTATCGATCATAAGATGTGCATTTCATAATAAATCCACAACTATAATAAATATTGATTAATTTATTTACATTAATCATCGCTGTAATAAGACACGGGGTTATGGTTACCGTAGCTATACCATGTATGTATATCGTTTTTCAAAAGGGGAGGAGTTTAGAAATTCATACAACATTATTTAAACAAGGTGGTACATGCATGTAAGGCGTATGTGGCATGTTTCTGCTAGGTATAAAGTAAACTGCCCAACCGTAGGCCTATCCACTTTCACAGTTACTTGTTATATATTTTACAATTTTTTGAAACCCTTCAATTCATTGTCTTTCATTAGAAATGGCAACTATCAAGGTATTTGTGTTTATCGAATAAATCTTGTTAAAAATGTTTTAAATAAGAAAAGAGTCTGTCAGAGGGAACAATGACCCTGATCCTTTTCCGTGGGATAATTTAATTTTCAGTGGAAACGTTTCTTTGCAATTTAAATTTGGAGATCAGGACCTAATCTGTTATAACTTACATGAATATGTATCCCTCCAAAAAAATGAATCTCTCTCTCTCTCTCTCTCTCTCTCTCTCTCTGAATTTTAACTGTTTATCTTTCCGCACCATTTGAAGATACATCGACCGCTTAAATCCACTGATTTCTGAAAATCGGCCAGTCTTGTTTGTCGAACATGTGCACATGAACTTTTTGCAGATCATGTACCGAAACATATCGTGGAGTCGCATTGTGTCCTCTAATTCATAATGACAGACTACTTTGTCCAACACTCCCATTACCTTCAATTATTTCTTAGAATATATCCTACAATTTACTATTTATTATTGGGTATTCCTGACTCAATACATGAAATATACTCGAGAAAATTAGTCCATGGTAGGGAATAGTGAGTTTTTGACATGTAATACTGAAAATACGTGTATGACATTTTCTCCCATTATTGTCTAATAAATACAACCCTATGGGCAACCTTTCACATCACTTGTCACGTTCAGAAATTATTGATGAACCATCTCTCAATGATTCTTTATTATTCCTGAAAAATGTCATATTATTTTTGAATTATGCAAGGCGTAATGAAAGTAAATTGATTTTAAAAGATTTTTCTTGTTAAAAAAAAGATATAGCCAGAAAGCTCTTTATAGTGCAAATGAAATCAATAATTGAATAGTAAAATTATTAATACATGTATATTTATTATATTTGATATAATTATATATTTACTAGGAATATATTGGCGTTATACACGTCCTAAAATTAAAAAAGAATGACCATTTCAAAAAAAATTAAAATAACAAATATTTTTTTCAATATTTTCATTTCCAAATATTTTTACTTAAGATTCTTTGCAAAATTTAATTAGAAGAAGTTCATGTTCTCATGAACTACCGTGGGATGAGTAAGAATATTTCCATTGTGATGTGATTGAAGTCAAAACATAGTACAATTTTTTTTTTTCAAAAATGATTGTTGAATGACAAAAATATATTGGAAGTCATCAGAAAAATAATGTAAATATAAATATAAGACTTGAATTTAATTTTTGAGAATTCATGAGGTACTTGGACTACAATGCTTCACGCCTGCATATTCATCATGAAGCGCTAACGCCCTTCATTAATTTGCCGGCGTGCAGTGTCGTAGTTCATGTCCTCATGAATTCTCAAAAATTAAATTCATGTCTTAAATTATCACTCTATACTAAATATTTCCCCCTCACCCTTATTTTCATTGAATTTCACTTGTTATATTATATTTAATCCATAGTAATAGACTGGGGTATTTTTATTGATCATAAAAAACAGGGGATTATCGTATATTAGATAGATGTATGTACAATCAATTGAAGCACGCTTTCACTGTACTTTTTAGAGTAATTCTTCAAAAACAAATAATATATTAGATAGATGTATGCACAATCAATTGAAGCACGCTTTCACTTTACTTTTTAGAGTAATTCTTCAAAAAAAATAATTTCAGCTGAACACTAAATTCAGAATCATGTTAGGTATATGTGTGTAAATTTTTTACATGATTTTTTTTTTTCAATAAGCATCCCCCTCCCTCCCTTCCCTCTAAAAATCATTATATTTCATTTTTTTTTTACTTCTAAACATAGGAAAATATAAAACAAATATATATCACTATGCCATTATTTGGTACATTTATGTACTTAATTTTTCAAAGAAAAGAAAAACAAGTGTTACCAAAGAAGTGCTTTCTTTTTCTGTGCCACTTTAATTCAATCAACTGTAAAATGCACGTTCAAAGAACTGTAAACTCTATAAATAACATTCATTACTGTATCATGTAATAATTAACATGGACCCTTTTACAAGCTTTCTGTTATTTTGCTTAAAAACATCTGATTAGAAATCTGATTATTATTATTATTGATCCAAAGAAATAGTGAAATGCCTCGGTTCTAGAATATATTTATATATATTATTTTAGTGGTAGAAGAAGAAAAAATAATTTAATAAGTAGAATTGCAATTTTTTCCCCTTTTTGACTTTGTAGATTCTCGAGTAACGGCTTGTTGGTTTGCTCTTCAAGATATTTTTCGTTGTGTTGTCTACTACGTCTGTGCTATAAAGTACCTCAATCCAGTCTACATAGTACGAGAGAAGCATCGCAAACTTTATTATTCGGATGAATACGGAAAAACTGTTGTACAACCAAAGCTCGGGGAAAGAATTTTTAATTTACTGTCTTCTGGTAAGAAATCAGATACACGGTCTCGCACTTTGACATAAGTTGTTATTTTATGTGATCAGATTATTCTTTTTATTTACTCTGAATCAGTTCCTGTTAAATATGAAAATAACTAACAGAAATCATGCTTTAAAGTCCAATTATACAACATAAATGTTGACTAGAGCAAACAAGGACGTCTGAAAATATCAGAGGTAGAATTAGTTGCCATGGAGGAACACGCATCCCCTACTGACCGCTTAAACGGTCTTGATTGGGTAGGCTGAGTACACATAATTCGTGGACAATTCAGTGTAAAAACAAAATGGTCTAAGAATTAAGTCAGTCAACATTCGACCTCGCGACAGTTTGTAATTGCAAACAAGGTCATTATATCGAACACACAGTTTTAAAAACGTTGACTTTAAATGAATTGTTTATACTCCTGTAATATTCAGCGTATATTTTTTTTCCATTTTACTTACACATCTAATCTGTTTTTAGAAGACGAAGAATCTGCCTAGGCTCGAGTTCATCAACCTCTCTTTTCATTTTTTCTAAGAAACATAGAGTAGCGACATTACGTGCTTCGATGGAAAGTAGCACTAATGTCTGCCATGAAAAGTGCATGAAGAGTACATTTGTTATTTACTTAAATGATATCACGCTACTACCTTGAAATTCCATTTTTATAATTACTAACAATTCTCATTTTAACCCATACCAATATGGTATGACGTTCAGGCATGCAGCGTATATTAGGAAGCAAACTAAGAACGGATGCCAACTAATAAACATGTACTGTCGTTCTGCCAATGATGTCAACTGCTCAAAGTACCAAGTGAATTTGAATTATTCAATTTGATATTTTAAGATGCAACCAGGAGAAGACGAATTTTAACCTGGGTACAAAAGACTCTGCCAAATCATAGCGTAGAGGATTTCAGTCTCAGCTGGAACAATGGCATTGCGTTGTGTGCTCTCTTAGAAGCAGTGCATCCTGGGATATGTCCCAGCTTCGGCCATCTTAAACCACACAACAGAGTGAACAATTGTCGACTTGGGCTCAAACTTGCTCAACAATGTTTTAATCTACCACTGGTAAGTTATACAGTAAATTTGAATTTTATTTATCTGGCTCTTGAAAGATATAATTTACTGGTTATTTTTCACATGACATTGTACGCTATACAAATCCATAACTGGTTTAAGCACAGTGGTTTGGCTTCAGAATGGTGTATATAATTAAATTTATTGTGCATTCTTTTATGTTTATCTGAATCAGATGATTTAAATCAACACGATAAGATCAAATCTGATAAAAGCAAATTTTAAAATCTTGTATTTATTTGTACATTAAAAGAGGTCAAGGGCCAAAACTATAATTAAATGACGTGAAAATGCACGTACCTTTTTAAAACTCGCAGCAACCCAACATATGCATGATTCCTAGTACATTGCACAGCGAAGGCGACAGTAGCAGATTTTAACTAATGCAACTGTATAATGAATCAAATGATTATTTTATGTAAAATGTTGAAGTGTTCCAAAAATGTAAGGTAAATCAAGAGAATGCAAGATGTAATATGCGTCAAGTTCGTTCTCTCTCGGCTTTCAATTCATATTTCAAATACATGTACCTCTATACATAGCTTAAGCAAATTTTATATGGCATAAAAATATCCGTATCATATAATCCATAACTTTTCGTCACATTATGAAATATCATCAGCATGGTATTCTGGTCAAATGGTATGGTATTATCTGTCAAATAATTAAATGGAATTATAACCACATAAGGAATACCCACAGAATATAATATGAAACCCCTATAACACACTGAAATATCCCAGATATTGAATATCAGAAGTTTATTTATATAAAGGAGGAAAAGACATGGTTAAAGGCACTTCCGCGCTGTGCAGTGAAATATTCGAGTCCAAATCAGATAACATAAGATAAAAATCAATTTAAAACGAGTAAAGGTGATTAACTTTTACCTTCAATTGCAGGATATGATTACACCAGAGGAGATGGCAATAGCTGATAATACCATAGAACCAAAGTTACTTAAGTATGTTTCCATGATAAAATGGGCATCCGAAAACAGTCGAACCAAAGAACATCATAAGGACGTCAACAGCGAAAATCCATCCAAAATGACGTCATTTACTGTAAAAGGATCGGGAATTGTTAGTGGAGTTGTTGGCAGAAAGGCAAGGTTTAGTTTGACTGTATCGGATGTGGTGGGTATGTTTCTTCTCGGTGTCGATATTAAAGGACCAAAGAATGAAGTATACAGCGAACAAATTATAAGCCTTCATCAGTCTAAGGAAATTATGATTGGAGCTTATCAAACGCAGCAAAAACAAAGGCGTCTTGCTTCTATAGACAATCATGTAATGGAATATATGGAAGATGCTGTTGGAAATACATATGTTCGATGGAAAAATCTAAAACTTCTTGGTGATAGCTCTACAGTGAGTGTTATTCCGTTTAACTGCCAGTGTACAGGAGAGAGGACGTTTCTCATGACATATTTGCCGATATCTACAGGAATTCATACCGTTTCGATCAAATGGCAAAACCTTCACATTGATGGATCTCCGTTCAAGGTCAAGGTCTACCAACCACGTGATGTGACGAGACGAGCCATAAGAGACGCCAAAGATAAACGCATCATTTTTGATTCCCTTTCTCTTTCTTCTATTGAAGAGCGTCCTTTGGGACTTTTAAAAATCGGGCCAGAAACGGACTTTACCAAAAGTAAGAGCGATTCTGAAAAGACTAGTGGGAGATCGTCTAGGACAATGCGGATGAAGAAGCAATTCACTGTAACAAAACGACGTGTAATACGTAAAGTAATTAGTCGTCATGGAGAGGAGATCGTCATTCAGGAATCTCCGTCTCCCAGTCTATCTCGTCAGAGCAGTATGACGGATACTTCAACTGAAGAGGAACAAATAAGAAAGTCGCACTCACCCTCTCCGCCTTATAAACGAAAAATTATACCTCGATCTGCAAGACATGGTGTTGAGCGTAATACTAACAGTGACAACTCAGACACAAATCAAAGTAACTTACATCAAGACTTAAAGTCCTCTGATAGGAAAGGAAATGGTTCCGCGTCCACCACCTGCAAAGAGATAAGGAGAGATATTCTTGAAGACAGTAATGCAGTATCAAATCGGCGTGCAAATCCAACCTTAATATGGAACAGATCATTTTCAGACTCAATGCTAATTTGTACCCCAGTTAATGATGGAATGCAAAGCACATTTAGAAAAATGAAAGAACTTAAAAAAACTGAAAGTAAAATACTTCAAACACATATTCCTTCCCTCAAGTTTTTTCAATCAAAAAATTTTAGGAACTCGGACTGCAATTTTTCTGGCGATATATTTCGTCAGCATTCATTTAGTAGCACTTCTTCAGCAAGCAGTAATTCGACTTCATCTTTAGGAAAAGCTAAAAAGTCTCTTTCCTTGACAAGGTCTCTGCCTCTTCTTAACAACGATGTTTACCCTTATGACAAAAGTTTGTCTAGGCTGGAGAGAATACGAAGGGATAAGCGCTATGCTATTGAAATACAAACGAGAAGTGAAAGATTACCGCAAATAATGACAACAACGGCATCGCCATCTACTTCAAGTTTAAGCAGCTTAGCAACTCCCACATCACATTCTTTCCCTTGGGATGATCCGAAAAGATGGAAAATGTCAAATTTTGATAGAGCGTCTGCTGATAGACAAGTGCATGTACTGAATAATCCCCCTATTGCCAAAACACCATCAGAGGATATGGAGAAATCACAATGCAAAAGTAGTCGAAAGAATTGGGAACAAATCATATCCAAACAAAGAGCTACAACAATGTATTGGTTAAATAATCAGACAACTGATCATTTTTCTGTCGACTCAACAGATTCAGATCCAAACTTTCTAGTTGAACAATCTATTATGGGGCCAAGGGAGAGACAACATTCTCTTGATATATTGACGGAATGCAAACCATCAATAGTATACAGGAAGGGTAGTTTATCAAGTGTTGATAGCAAAGGAAGTGCATCTTCAAAGAAAAAAGGGCTTCAAAGACAGTACAGCAAAATGGAAAATTTAGAGACGGACTTGGTAACAATTAGTGATAATGACATTGAGGAAATCCAAAAGGTATCATCATTAACTGATCAACAAGAAGACGGAAATGTAACCGATGTTAAGTCTGCGACCAACGTGAACCAAGCTACATTCAAATCTATTGTAACTGTGGAAAATATTGTGCCATCGAAGGTCCGCGTTGTTACACCGAAGGTGAAAGCTAACAAAACAACACAAGTAACAGTAAATGAAATATTAAAGGAAACTGGGTTCTTGTCAGCTTTTTACAATTTAAGCATTAGAAGACGTAAAAAGTATGTTAAAAATGACACCGGTAACCAAACAACTACAGCAAGTGACGCTCTAAACCCAATCAGAGCTCGAAGTTTTTCGGATGGTGCTATATTTGGGCAACACAACGACGATTCAGATGAGGAAGATGTGGATCACAATTCACGCCAATCAACAATTGATAGTGGCATTGCCGAAGAGAATCAAAACAGAGCTGACGGTATCCCATTTCAGCGGAATCAGAACAGAATTATATTTCGACAGAATGGACATATAAAGCTTCATCGAAGGCCTTACCAAGGACGCATTGTTTTGGACCCCAGATTGATAATGAGTGGTAGCAATACCGATTCTCAAAGTGATGCAAGCGATGGAAATAAATCAGATTCGTTTGGATGGAGAGGAAAAACGCCCGAAGAATCAACAAGTTTTTCGGATACAGAGATTACAACGAACAGTATCCGAAAACGTCGTAAACGAAGAAAATTACGTGCAGAAGTAAGACTCTCTCCCGTTCTCTCAACATTTAAAAATCCTGGAATCCGTGAACTTCAAAGAGATGCTGAGGGATCATCAACAGATCATGATGACAACAGTGAAGACGATGTTGGCGTAGCTATAAAGAGTCCACATCTGCTGTCTGTTCATCCTAATAAAGATTCTTCCAATTCCGATTTGTCTGATATAGGAATAGGTGTAGATGATGCTGAAAGGGCCCTCTTGTTGAATGACGTTCAAAGCTTTATGCATTTATCTCAGAACATCCAAACATCATTGTGTGACAAAGAAACAGAATCAACAAGTCAAGACGTTGGGATTGCAGTATCCTTGCATGAGAAATCAAAAGATACAAATGATTTTATGTCTTCAGGAAGAGTATTTCGTTCCTCCAAAGAAACAATTTTGACCGACACAGAAAATAGACGTTTTATATCAGCTGTTTATCATTATGTTTCACCGGATAATATCAGTAAGAGACATACAAGTTACGGAAGTCTTCAACTAAGCAAGGACAATCACTTTGAGCAGACTTATGATCTAATTGAGGACCAAATATGTGTGGACTTCGAAAAATACATTGCAGGGCTTAATGAAAGCCTTGATGAGGATCCTGTACCACCGTGTACAGCAGAAGGTGTTGGACTGACCATTGGACAAGTGGGAATGAAGAATAACTTTCAGGTAAAAGAGCATACCTTAATGTATAGCAAAGAAATATTTTTTTTTAGAAACATCTTGAAATACATGAGTTTTAAACGATACTATAAACTAGTTTTATCAAATCCATACTATTTTTTATTTTTTAAAAAAAGGAAAAAGTGTCCACCTTTAATTTCTCGGTAATCCAGGGAAAATCTCAATTCTATAAATATCGCTGATATTGTTTATACATTTTGTGATAGTTTGAAATTCATCAATTTCCAAAGCTTGAATGGCGTTTTATTCTTGTTTAGATAATGATGTGTATTCACTGAAATCAAAATTGTAATCTAAATAGAAACGTTCAGAATTTTTTTTTACATATCTCTTTATGAGTGGACTTTTTAAATAGCAATTAAGATGTATTTCTAAAAGTGTTATTCTCTTAATGTCGTTAAAAACGAAATTGAACTTGCTACCTTTCATCAAACATTTATTTAGGTATGGTGTCACTCCCAAGAGAATATGGCCATATCAATTACAATTCACGGCCCTCGACCATTTTCTGTGTTGGAGTGGAGCGTTGTGTATACAGGAGACAATTTGTATGAGATCACGTATGAAGTGGCATATCCAGGGTATTATGTCATCTGTGTTAATTGTGGAGATCAACAAATTAAAGACAGTCCATTTCTAGCAAAAATCACACATTAACTTATTTATTTTTTATTTATTTTTTTTTTTTAAATGTACATGTGTATAAAAATTTTGACAGTTAATGTTTTACATAATTGCATTTAAAATGCAGGTAAGATTGCTCTTCCATTTCTTCGATGGGAACAGACAGCAATTTTATCATTCACTATCACTGAGTGAAATTAAACTTGTGCAAGTACTTTTTTGTACTTTTTGTGATAATGTTAAAGTGATTTAAATGATGAAATCCGAACATCAATGTACACGGAAAATGGAGTGGTGCATTTTCTCTAATAAGGAAAATAATAATAAAAAAAAAGTATAAATAAGCTCAGCTGAATTTAAATTACAGAGTTGAAAGCATTCTTAATATAAAGTGTATTGTCAAAATAATTTTTATAATGTTCGTTTTGGATAGTACGTGAGTAATTTTTCAGTTCAGAAAATCTTAAAATACGTGTCTCATCTGATTTGGTAACAGTTGAAATACATCGATTAATTTGACGCCATAGTCTATACATGTGATCTATATCAGCTTCATGCACCAATAAAACGTCTCTTATGACGTCACAGTTTCCATCTTGTAAATGTTCAGTCACAAAATTAACAATGTTGTGCGGAGTAATTCCAAGATGCGACAAAAGCTGTGCAATGAAAACATCTTCTAAACGGAAGTGCGGCACATCACCTACAGCTTGCAAAATATTCCGCACCAAGTCGGAACTCATTATGTAAGCGGAAGAACACATTGGTGGATAAAGTTCCTTTTTATACTCTTGAAAAGTAGACGTAAAATGGCGAAACCTTATTCCGATTAGGTTTTGACGTACCAAAGCATTGCCCTCCGATAAATTTTGAATCTGGAAGGAAATATTCCAATCTTTTAAATTGCATTGTGTTCACAAAAATGTCCCCATGAACTTTTGTGATATGCTTTACGCTTTGACAATTTTGTATAACCCATTTGAGTCCCAGAAGTAACAATTCTGTTGTATTATGAGTATTGTAATTTACATTGAAGTTCAGGATGTCATTATAGTGTGATGCTTGATGTTCGGGATTCCAATTTCTATTCTCCGATCCAACCAAGAAGAAATATCCAATTATAACATCCTTTTTCAATACGTCAGACACCCAACTATGCCTAACAACACTTCGGGCGTGGACTTCTATGGGTGACGTCACGATAATGATAACATTTCGAATCCGATCGGATTTACATGCAGTACTTGGAGTATACAATGTATCATATTGTTTTTCTCCAACCGAAATAAACATATCCTGTGAATCATCTACTATGAGTGCGAAGGGGTTATCAACGTCTATCATTACATATTTATTTCTCACTGACTCTGTCTTAACTTTATCAAGTTTATTTAAAGTTTCACATATGTATATAACGTAGACAAACGCGACTGCAGCTAAAAGAATCATCATTGTTTCTATGGTTAAAAAGGGTCGAATATGCTTTGCCTTTATGATCAAAGTTCTCTCCTTTTCTCGGAGCTGTGTTGCGGAGTCAATGATCATCGGGCGCATTCGTTGGCCTTTTCTGCAATCTGAAAGGAAGTATTACAATATTATCATAATATATCCGAAAACTAATAGAATTCCTAAAATAGAAATTGAATTAATTTAATTTGCAGCATTTGCAAAACTACACATGAATCAAAATTAGTTTAGGCTAGCCATTAGTCTAGCCATTATACTTCAGTGAATTACAATTAATTATGGCTAGAGAACATAAATCTTAGATTTCGATTGCTTAAATTGTTCTCGAAGCATAATATTACAATTTACATTATCTTTGAGCTAAATTCAATTTTGTTTTTCTTAAAATCTGCCACTTTCAAACCTTGCTTCAAGAGACAAGTATTTACAGAAAAAACGTTATGTTGTTTGAAAAAAAGAAAGTATAGTTACATGACATTGAGCTGATGTTAAAATAAAATGAAATTTATTTATATTCTTTTGCCGTCTAAAATTCAAGTATGCAAAACGATAGCAGGTTATTTTTTCTGTATTTCATTCCAGATTTTTATTGTCCCGGTGCATACTCCGATGTTTTAAATGACAGACGATAAATCAATTGCGAAGTGGGGGTTCACTATAGTTTTTAAAGAAAATATATATTTTTTGAATTTGTCTTTTTTCGGGGGGGGGGGGGGTGTTATACCGTATGCAGCAATATACCTTCATCACCTGCGTACGGGGTTTACATCTCTCAGTTGATTCGATATGCAAGAGCATGCTCTAAGTATGTATAATTTCTAAAACGAGGTAAATTATTGACAAAGAAGTTGATAACACAAGAATATCAGCAGTCTCGTTTAAAGTCATCATTTCGTAAGTTCTATGGTCGATACAATGACCTTGCCAGCAAATACAATTTATCATTGCGTCAAATGCTGACTGACGTTTTTCATCCTAATTATTAGACCATTATTTACACTCTGAATTGTTGACGGATTTTTCCGATATTTCCCGATCATGACAAGGAGCACACGGCAGGTGTGACCGGTCGGCAGGGAATGCTCACTCCTCCATGGCACCTGATCCCACCTCTGATGTTTTGCAGGTCCGTGTTTGCTCTGCTCCTATTTTTTTTTGTTTAATGGACTTTTGAGCTTAAATACTGTTCGTTATCTTCATATATTTCACCGTAGAAGTCATAATGCATGTACGATTAATTACCACTGACATTTTTTTAATTAATGAGCATTTTGTGCATGAAATATAAATGATTGTCTTTTCCTTCAATGTCAACTGGTAAAATTTTAAAATTATTTGTATGCAGAAGAGAGGAAAAAAGAGATGGAAATGGAGGATGCAGGCCCTGCTTCTCTCGTTAAAAAACTGCCTAGAACTTAGCAAAACCTCTTATTCTAAAGGCATTTATAAATAGCAGAATGGGTTTGTTTTTATAGAGTACATGCATAATTGTACTATTTTTACGACAGAGAGATACAAATCGTTAATCAGCACATACGTCACATTCAGTTAAAAACAACAGTCGGAATTTGTTTGCCTCCATGAAACACCCTCTTTATTTTAATATATTTAACAAATAAGATTTAACGTGAGAAGATTTTCCAAACATGTTTATAACGAAGGTTCAATTTATAAAGGGTTCGTTTTCTTAATTATATGTGGAACATATTTTACCTGCAGACACATTGGTATAAACGATTGAAATAAATTATGCACAGTATATACAAGTTGGAATACTATTGTTTTACTTACCTGCTGTTACTTACAATATCTTGATTATCCCAATCAATTATTCAATTTTTCCTCACATTTTAGCATAACTGTGTCACAACTGTCATCTTATTGCCTTCGATTAAAATGTTTTCAGTTTTTAGATTTATACAGGTAAAAATTTATTGAAATGTCACATGCACCAGCTGTAGATATATGCAAAGTCAACAGAGCATTACTTAAATTTCATTTTACGTGAAATTTCAGTCTTGATGTTGATAAATATCTAATGACCAAAAATATCAATATATATTTACTTTTCCTGTTTCATTTTTTCCCTTTTATACTTAAAAAACATACCTCCTTTTTGTATTCAATTATTCAGTGCTTATTTTTTTTTTCCCGTCAATTTGTGACCGGATTTCACTAAATGCTTTTACCATGCTTTCAAAAGAACACGGACGTAAATTTAAATTTCTTTAGAGTACCGGGGTAATACAATTTTTAAAAAAAAAATTAAAGGGGTTTACATAAATTCCCTCTTTCATTTAATTATCAAAAACTGTGGAATCATTAAAATTCTTGGGTGGGGGCAATTTTCGTGGATAGCCTTAATTTTTCAGGTTCGAGGGGACGTAATTTCGTGTGTTCACTCATCTACAAAAGGAAAGATGACACTTAAAACCCCAATTATTAATTTGATGAGGATATGGATGCAGGATGAAACTGATTTCAGTTAACTGAAAGATGACTAAAAGTTGACTGAAAGGTGACCGAATGGGAGATCGCGGAATATTGAGCCACCATGAAATCTCATGATCGATAGCGAATACAGGTACGCATTAAAACTAGGAAAAGGTAAAATGCTCTCAAATGAGGGGGGGGGGGCTAAAAGGCGAAGGGGAAGATTAGCTTTACTTAAAGTGTGCAGAGCCATTCACAAGAAAAAAACTGGATATCATTTATTTATTTTATCTCTGTTTCATATTTAAATTCAAAATTCAAAATTCAAATTCATATTTAAATGCGTCCATGGTTACAGTTTTCTTTTCACTCTTTCTTCTTTTTTTTTCATTGTTCCAATAGTTAGAAAATAATATATTTTTCTCATTTGCTTTAGGGCTGTGTTCTACCTGATTCATCTTTTTCCGTTCTTGATTTTAATAAAATTATCTTTTATTTTATAAAATTATCCTAATTTAAATGACCAAGATGAGAATGTGTGTGTGTGTGTGTTTTTTAAATAAATTGATGCATACATTGCCCTCTTTAGGTCCTTTGGTAAATGCACTCTCCGTGTCCGGGACCGATTGAAGTTTAAATTGCTTCGAAATACATGCAAAGTTTCGTATTTGAATTTGCTGCTAGGTGAATGATTTTCATATAAGGCACGCCCAGGTACCGAGAAAGGTCTGTTTACCTGTTATTAATCCCACTCTCAAATTAAAGTACTCTAAAGAACCTTAATTAACATTTCACGAAGTGGGAAACAGTGTGTCAAAATCTACACACTAGCAATCTCTAAACATATAGTGAGATTTACCGCCTACCGTACCCAAAGTTTGCACCGGAAGTTCAAAATCATTAAACTTTGGATAACTACATGTAAGAGACCGGGTTAGGGGGATTAACAACACGACCTTGATTAATGCTGAAAATTTTGATAAAAGAAATGTCTTTAAAAATTCTAAAACCTTGTATCAAAGTATAATCGTATCTTAAAATATCTTTTGTTGTTGTGTAATAAAATCAAACAGTGATCAAACATACCAAACTGCTTTTACAATATATTGGTAGGATTATATGGCGCTTCCTAA